CACCAAGAGGTCATTGGTTGATTCCCAGTCAGGGCACATGCCCAGGTTGTGGGCCAAATCCTCTGCAAGGGGCATGCAGAAGGCGGCCAATCGATGTTCTCTCTCATCGATGTTTCTATCTTTCTCTCCCTCTCCCTTCCTCTCTCTCTAAAATCAATAAAGAAAAAAAAACATATATATATAAAAAGATGCTGCTGTCACAGGCTGGCAGGGCCGTGGGGTGATTAGGCCCCAGGGTGGGGCCTCATGAACGGGATTAGTGCGTCATAAGAAAAGGCGCCTCCACTATGGGAGGACACAGCGAGAACACGGCCAGGGAGTGGCCCTTGGCAGGCACGGGGCCTGCTGGCACCTCGGTCTGCACCCAGCCTCCAGAACCGGGGGGAATAAATGTCTGTCGCTCATAAATCAAGACGCAGACACCTGCCTGCAGCGAGATTACCTTAGAAGGCTTTAACGGGGAGGAGAACATCAGGTCGGTGGCACAGAGAGTAGGTTTATTTACATTTTGTAATGTAAAGTGGTTGTGGGAGGATGGAGGTCACAGAGAGGGGTGCCAGGAAGTTGACACCTGAATAGACACCTGGAGGGATGGGCACAGCCCAACTATTTTGGAGGGAAGTGGTCCAGGCAGAGGGGACAGCTACCACCCATGTCCTAGGGAGGAGTGCGGGGGCCCCTGCGAGGTGCAGGAGAAGGCAGGGTGGCTGGGGACGAGTGAGTGTGGAGCCACCCTGCCAGCCTGGCATCCTGGAAGCACCAAGTTGCAACTGAACCTTCTCCCAGATGCAGTAAGAATGAGCTTGTCACAGCAGGTGCCAGGCACCCGGCAGTCCCGTGGAGTATTCAGAGTCACTGAGGAAAGAATAAAGGTCCGACGTACACGTGTGGACCAGCGTGTGGGGCTGCAGTCAGCCTGCTCGATTCCCGCAAGCAGTCACTGGAATCGCAAAAAGTGCCGCCACAGTACCACCTGGACACAGACACCTGGTCGCAGCCTGCGGCTCCCCACCTGGACACAGACACCTGGTCGCAGCCTGCGGCTCCCCACCTGTACACAGTCACCTGGTCGCAGCCTGCAGCTCCCCACCTGGACACAGACACCTGGTCGCAGCCTGCGGCTCCCCACCTGGACACAGACACCTGGTCGCGGCCTGCAGCTCCTGCACACCCCTTCCCACCCCAGTACCGCCACCAGTGCCGGCGGGGCCCAGGTCGCAGGGTCTGCTGCCAGCCAAAAGCAAGCAGGAGCAAAGCAGACGGCTCCAGGCCCAGCGAGGCAGCCTGTCCAGCAGTAGGCCTCGTCCCCGCCCACTGGGCCCCTCCCTCTCACTGGCGTGGGCGCCTTTTGGTCCACGTGGTGGTGGGCCTGGGGAGGGTGGGCCGACAACTGCGACTCCAGAACCTCACGCCATGCCAGTGGTTCCATGGGAACCCAGGAGACATGCAAGGGAGAGCCACCACCTCTGCACAGCCTCCAGAGGGCGGCGGGAAGGGGGGGGGGATCACGGCCCCATGCATTTGTTCTGTGTGACCAGACCCGGTACCGACCCAAATCCCTAAGAATGTAAATGCAAAAATCCTACTCAGCTACATGAAAAGAATGGCGCGCCATAATCGAACAGTGTTCACTCTAAGGTACAAGGCGGGTCCGACCTCCAAGGAAGAACACACGTACCCCCAGCCGACAGGCTGAAGCGACATCACGTGGCCTCATCTGTGGACACAGGGGCATTTGACAAAACTCAACGTCCATTCATGGTGTAAATTCTCAGAAAACTAAGAAAAGAGGGGGAGCCCCCCAAACTTGACAGAGGGCACCTGCGAGCCCTGCCTCTCCCAAGACCGGCAGCGAGGCATCGGGCCCTGTCCCCGCGCGGACCCAGCCAGTCCAGCGCACCGGCCAGCAGCGGCACCGTGCAGCAGTCTGGGGACGGAAGGCACGCACACCCACATGCCCACACCTGCTGACAAGCCCACAGGAGCAGGTTTCCAAGAAGCCCTTTCCACCTACACCAGCATCCGGCCTGCCGAGGCCCCAGGCTCCTGTCCTGGTACACACGTGTGCAGACGACCTGCTCCGGGCCCTGGCGTGTTCGCACTCGCACCCCAGCGTTCCCACAAGCCATGTGCTGCCTGCCCCTCTCTTCCTGACTCCTGGCTGTGGGGAGAGCCAGGCAGGTGGTAAAGGTGGGCTCCGTGGGGTTTGGGTAAGAGCTGTGCCTGGGAGTGCAGAGCACTTGGATCTAGAGGGCCCCGGGCCAGTGGAGAGCTGACCCCGACCCCAGAGCAGGCCACAGAGAGTGCACACCTGCTGCAGCCTCTTGACGTGGTCACTGGGCAGAGCTCGCCAATCTCTCTTCGACAGGGTCCTCGAGAGGGGCACACACAGACCAGGAACGAGAAGATGGTCATGGGTGGGGGAGGGCAGGCCCAGTGTGTGGCTACCTGTGAGCCAGACTTCCCAGACCCATGAGCACCACCATGGGCCATGCCAGGGATGCTGGGAGTGTGGAACGCCAGCAACCTCAGGTTCGAAAGGGCACTGGGAGAGGCCTTCAGGACCACGCTCTGAGCATCACTGAAGCCGTGTCTTGGGATTTGCTGTGGTCTTTCTGGTGGCCCTCCTCTGGGCAGGTCCACAGCCTAGCACACCCCCACCCACACAGCTCATGCTCATTCCGGGCTCTGTGCTGCCCCCAAGGACCAGAGCACCTGCTCACCTGCCTGCCTGCCCCTGGCCTGGCAGTCCTGGAGGCTGGAACCGGGTCAGAACGGAGGCTCAAGACACAGCCACTGGGTTGAACACTCTCAGCTCACCTGCACCACCGAAGGTGTGGCGTGAGCAGGACCGAGGAGGGGACACTGAGCAGGCAAACAGGTGCTGCCAGCCCCTCTGCACACTGAGGGCATGTTCACAGCCGCCAGCTGGGAAGATGCCACCAGGTATTACTTTGGGGCCAGAATGCTCAGTACACAGTCAAACCCATCCCTGGTCCTTTCCACGTTACTAACGGATGATCTGCTCCTGCTTCCCCAGAGGACGGAGGTGCCGGCAGAAGCCAGGTTGGCGCCTCTGGGAAGGAGTGAGGGTCTGTGCAGAGGGAGGCAGTGAGGCGGCTGCCCTCACAAAGTGCTGGCCTGTCGTGACCACGCAGGAACCACGGCTGGACATGCCCACACATCCCCCTCTGTAGGGCGGGCCTCCGTCTCGTGCCAAGCTCTCCCTCCACAGTTTCTTATCAAGGTTCACACCTTACTGGGGCCACACAGAAGTCAAAATATGACCTTATTATCAACCACACTCACAAGAATTGGTAAATCAACTTCACACATTCCTGCCTCCTGATCCACGTGCCATGTGGGACCCCATCCACCTGTAAGCACGTAATGACTGAGAGATGTGCCTTCAGGACAGCCAGCCTGCCTTTTCAGCTAGGGTGCTGTACCCCCAGGTCACCCTCCCAGCCCCCAAGAGAAAGGCCACGTGCAAACAGACTCTGGCTGGCAGCTACACGCAGGTCCCCGGCCACAGTCCAGAGTCCCCGGTGTGGAATGCGGCACCCACTGCCATCCAGAGCAAACAGGACGATGCCAAGTCTCAAGGCCGTGGTAAGCACTGTGACTGACGCTTTCATGACCCACAGAGCGGCACCTCTGTCACCTCAGCAGAGTGTGGCACCCACTCAGCCACCAGCAAGGCGGGGGATACCAGACCATGATGCCGCTGTGAACCCCAGCGAACTGGGTTCGCGACACATGCCGTCCAGAGCCCGGTGTGTGTGTGCCCGGGCGGTGCAGCTGTCCGGAAGCTACGTGGCCTCACACAGGAGCTGCGTGAGCGGGTGGGCAGCCAGCAGCAAGGTTCACACTGCAGTCCTCTGGGGCAGACTCACAGTCCTGGCTGTAAATGTGGTCTCGGCCCAGCCACAGGGTGGGCTGACTGCGGAGACCTCCGGACACAACAGGCCCGGCCATTCTCGCTGACCCCACTTCCTCCCGGCCGAGCTCTCTGCAGATCAGAGGCCACCCGAGGGCTGCCCGGCTGGAGGCGCGACAGCCGGCTCTCCTCGGGCACCCTGTGGGCAGGGTCTGAAGCCGTTCAGACGGAGGTGGCGGCACTCTTCTTCAGGCACATCGCAGGAGAACGCCAAGGCCACCCTGTCCAGAGCCCACTCCACTCTCTGCTCTGTGACCTTGGGCAGCTGCTTCAAGTTTCTGAGGCCCGAGATAATCGAAAATGGGAACTCTGTGTTTCGTGGAAGCTAACACGTTTTGTCTCTCAGGTCAACATCTCTGAAATCGGGGTGCTGGTTAAACTGACAGTGTCAGAACCTAACGGGCGACTTGTCTGCTGGCAGCCCGCACAGCGGTGGCGCAGCTGGCCGAGCGGTGGGAGAGCGAGCCTCGCAGACTCGTCCCGGGGCCTGGCGCAGAGGCGGCCTCCCCGCCGCCGGGCAGCAGGGGCAGCAGGCCCGCGGTGACTGGCCCCGCTCTTGGGGCGAACGTGGCCTGTGCGGGCTGAGGGACAAGCGGAGGTGTCTCGGGTACTAACAAGGGAGCCGGTGCCCCGCCCTCGGCAGACCCCAGCCCCTCTGCAGCCCCGGCCACACAGGGAGCCGGAGAACCGGAGCGCAGCCACCTGATCCCCCTCCAAGCTCCCCCCACTCGGTGGCAACCACCACAAAGCGGCCGGCTGCCAGCAGGGCGCTGTCTCTTTAAGCGTTTCCCAGGCCAGTTCCGTTTACAAGAAACCGGCCGGAGGGAGCGGGAGGGAGCGCCGGCCCCTTCGGGGAAGCAGCAGGTGCTCGGGAAGCAGCGCCTGACTCAGCACCGGCGGCCCACTGGGCCTGCGCCGGCACAGCCCGACCGCGTCAGGAGGGCGCCGCCCCGCCAGCAGCGCGCAGGGGCGGGGCCACGCCGGGGGCGGGCCGGCGGCGGTCACGTGTGTACACAGGCCCCGCGCGGCGTGCGCGCCGAGAGCCCCGCCGCCTCCGGAGCCGAGCTGCCCGCCGCGGCGACTGCGCGGCCCAGCCTGCCGGTGAGTGGGCGCCGGGGGGGTCGGGTCGGCCGGGGTCCGGTGCGGCCCGCGCGGGGAGCGAGCCCCGGGCTGCGGCGGCCCCGTCCGGCCGGGCGCTCGGCTCGGACGCGCGGGTCCAGGGCCGGCCCTGCACTGTGCCCCGGGGCGGGGGCGCTGTCCCCCGGGGCGGGGGCGCTGTGGCCGCGCGCAGCCCGAGCTGGGAGGCAGCCAGGGCCGGGCAGCCGCCCTGCGGTCATGAACCTGCCCGCGCTTCACGTGTTGTGGGCCTGACGGGGCCTCCGGGTCACCGCGGTCACCGCTTGTGTCCCCTTCACGGTGACAGCAGTTTCGGCGGGTCCCGAACCCCGTCCGCACGGAGATTCCGTCCGGCCTGACTCTCCTGGCGACTCCATAGCACGCAGCCCCTGGGCCTGCAGGCTCCTTCAGCAGTCGGCGGGAGCCGTGCCCCGGCTGCCCCTCTGCTCCCCTGGGACCTCGCCGGGACCCCACGACCCCTCCAGGCGGCCCTCTCACGGGCTCGCGGGCGCGTGGGCAGACCTGAGCGTGACTTACTCGACACCCGGACAGCACCCATCTCTCTGACTCCCCTCCCCACGGAGACTCCTCATTTCGGATCCCCAGGCAGCTTTCTTCGGTTTCGGATCCACCTGTGAGTGAGATCACACGGTGCTTGCCCTCCCGAACGGAGCCAGGCCACTGAGCCCTCCGTGAGGCTCCGTTCTTCCTGCGGAGCGATGTCCCCGTGTCTGCGGCGCGGCTGTCCTGTCCACCCCTCACCTGGGCTGCTCCTTCCGCCTCGGCAGGGCAGCTCTCTCTGCCGGGCGCCTGCCACCTCCTTCCCCTATCTCTGGCATCTGGCCGAGGCCCGCGTTCCCTTTCAGGGCGGCTGCTCCCCAGCCTCTGCGCACACAGTGTACACAGGAAGTAGTCCTGACCATGTCCCCAGGCTGCTCCTGGGTCCCAAGCAGGGTACCCTGAGAGTGAAGAGAGGTACCATGCTAACCCTCCCTCCAGGGCTGCTCTCCAAAGCTGTGGGGTCCCAGGCAGGCGCTGCAGCGGCCAAGCCCAGCCTCAGGCTGCACACGGCTGGGGGCATCTGGCCCGGCTCCAACCACTGTTGTTGGCGCTCTAGGGAGAAGGAGATGCCCTGGGGACAGAGGGACACAGCTCTGGGGAGACCTGCTGTTCCTGTAACTCAAAGCCCCTGGTAGGCTAGTGATGAGAGAAAGGCCAAGTACACCCACCTAAGTAGGATGCATGTGGGGTTTAGGTTACAATGTATCTGTGATACAATGAAAAAGTGATAAACTTGCAAAGAACACTTGGGAAATACCTCACTTGACTGACAGGAAGAGGGACCTGCTGTTCTCTGGGGAAGCTGCTTCCACCTTCCAGCCCCTAGAGTGTTATGGGGAATCCTGACAAAATAACTGCCACCTTACGCTGGCCAGTTTGGCTCAGAGGTTAGAGCGTTGGCCTGCAGTCCAGAGAGACCCGGGTTCGGTTCCTGCTAAGGGCACGTGCCTCAGTTGCAGTTTGTCCCCGGCCCTGGTTGGGTTGTGCGGGTGGCAGCCACTCGATGCGTCCCTTTCACGTCGATGTTTCTCTCTGTCTCTTCTTCTCTCTCCTTCCCACTTTATCTGAACAAAAAATGGAAAAATGTCCTCGGGTGAGGATTAAAAAAAAACAACAACTGCCACCTGGCCACGTCTTTGGAGGTGGGAGGCGTCACCTCGACACCTGGGCTGCTATATGAGTGCACGTGACACAGTCCCGTCCTCATCATTGAACAGTGGTTCCCATGGTTTCCCCTTGCTGGCTGCTGGCCCCTGAGCTCCTAAGGCTGGAACCACTGCAGGACTGAGCAGCCACAGGCCCACAGGTCTCCCAGGCCCAGGCCCCCGAAACACTGCCCAGGCATCAGAGAGCAGAGGGGACTCAGTCTAGCAGGTGCAGAGTGAGTCTTCTAATCTGAGGGGCCAACAGGCGACGCTGCTGGGAGTCCATGTGCAAACAGAACACCTATGAGTGGCAGAGGGCAGGGTGAAATGGGCGGGTGTCCTGAGCATCCCCAGGAGGCCCACCCTGGGTCCCTTTCCTCCCACACCTCAGTAGAGCATGCCTCATAGCTTCTGGGTTTTGATTAAAGCCCAGCACACGGAGGAAGCAACTGCTACAAGGGAGATAACTGGCGGGCTCCCACCTCGGAAAGAACCACAGCGATAGGATCTGGGGCTGAGCACTCCCCAGGTACGAGCACACCTAGTTAAAAGCGGGGAGACAGGGAGCCTGAGTCTGAAAGGGAGACTGGCGCTGTCTCGTCTGGCCCTTGGATTTCTGAGCGGGCCCCTCTTTGTTCCTGTTTCCCTTGGTCTGGTGTAACTGGGGGAGCATGAGCCTCAAACCAGGTTACTCAGGTAACAAAAAGCCCAAGTAACCAGTGCTCCATAAACAAGAATGCGCGTCCCATCTTCTCCAAGCGGGGAGCCCGAGTCCTGGCGCGGGCACCCGCTGGCCCGCTAGCCAGGACAGCTGCCCGGCCCGCTCCCACAGCCTTGCCAGGCCAGCAGCAGGCCCATTCTGCACGGAGAAGAGGCAGCTCTGCCTCTGCATCTGAGCAGGGTGGCCTGGCTCGCTCCTGCTCTGCAGTTTAGAACCGTAAAGAAAGCAAAAGTTTACAAAATCAAAACCACCCATATATAAAATGAGCCATTTCTTATCACACCCGAGGAGAACCGGGTTTGTGACAGGAGACTGTGTAAGTGGTCCAGTGAGGGACTCATGAACAGCAGCCTATCCGGGAGCGTCTCCTACCAGCTGGATGTTCGCTGTCGCCAACACCTCTGCCCATTAGTACAAAGGATAAAAGTCACTTTCAAAGCATTTTGATTATTCCAGAACATCCGCGTGAGGTCGACAGGGCTGGCAGCTCAGCCCAGATGTCTGCCTACTCAGGACGCGCCGCCCGGCCCGGCCTCCTGTGCCCACACCCAGGTCTCGGGAGTGTCAAAGGGCACCACCCTTGAGACCACCTTCTAAGCGTGTCTGTGGCTCACGTGGGGAAGGTGTTCCACGTCACCTAAAGCATCTCTTCCCAGACAGCCAGCCAGGCTGCGGGCCACAAACTAAGAAAGGCCCCCTTCAGAGCTCTGGTGGGTGGAAGGAGACACAGCACGGCTGGCCAGGTGTGGAGCGCAGGCAGGGAGAACGGGTACTGACGCCCGAGTAGGACTTCAAGGGCGAGTTCGCGTTGGCTGAGTGACTGAGGGGAAGCGAGGAAAGCCAGCGGTCTGTGTGTGTGGACAGCAGGGAAAGGAGCGGTGAGGCAGCAGGCCCCCAGCCCCAGCCCCAGCCCCGGCAGCAGCAGGCCCCCAGCCGCAGCCCCGGCGGCAGCAGGCCCCCAGCCCCAGCCCCAGCTCCAGAAGCAGCAGGCCCCCAGCCCCAGCCCCAGTGGCAGCAGCAGCAGGCCCTGCTGTGCCGGGCCCTGGGCGAAGGACAGAGTTCTGCCTCAGAGGCAAGGGGGTGGAAGGTGAGGTTGGTGCCGCCCCGTCAGCGCCACAGAGCAGGATGGCTCTCTGCTGGTTTCCCATTTCTGCCGACCTGGCGTGTACTCACGTACACACAATTCCTGGGGGTGGGCCCCTGCTCCCCGTCCCCTCAGCCCAGTCACTCCTCCAGGCTGCTGCTCTGGCCACGCCTGCATCCTGTTTCTGTGGAGTTCATGACTGATGCCAGTCCTGGATTCTAGCAGAGTTCATCTTAGTTGCTCACGGAGGTGGGCTTGCAGCAGGTGGCTTCGCCGAGTCAGGCTCTGAGAGGCCCAGGAGGTGCCAGGCCAGGCCACTGGTCCCTGCCGCAGCGGTGCAGAGAAGGGCAGCACCCAGACACTGTCCCAGTTCCGAACCCGAGCACGGCCTCTCCCCACCCCACCCCTGTGACAGCACGAGAGCACCAAGGGCTCAGGACCAGGCAAGGCCAGGAAGGTGCTGCTGTGTGGCGGCCTGAGCCCTGAGCCCTGACCCAGCAGGGCCCACCGCACGCCTACCCCAGGGCCTCTCCCGTGAGACAGCGGCTCCCGTCCTCATCCCTCCCTCTCCTGGTTTCCTCTTCCCATGTGTCACTTAGCAGGGCCCTGAGAGGAACCCACACTTTGTACAGTGACTGTCCTCTGGCTGATGCACAGGCCCCAGCAGCGGACCCGGGAGGAGAGAAGCTCTGCAGACAGCGAGGTCCTCAGACACGGGGTGGGAAACAGGACCTCTAGTGACACTCAGACCAGCCACCACCTGTGTGTCCTGCCTGAGATCTGGCCATGCCTTGTGGCTAGCTGGCCGAGGCCTCCGCACAAGCCAGCAGAGGCCCGGATAACACAGACAGGTTCCGGCTTCTCTGACCACAGAACCTGGCCTCACGAACCTCCACGGGCCTTTCTCTAAATGTAAGCTGCTGGGGTCTGACAGGCAGCCCCTCCGGCCTACGCAGAAATGACCGCAGCTCTTTCCCTTTAAGGGTCCCACGGCCCCCAGGCCCCCTAGGCAGTGCTGAAGAATTGGGGGGAGGGTTTCGTGGCGTGGGCGAGGCAGTGGTAAGAAGGGAAAGAAGGTGCCACCGGCCAGTGCATCTGGAGCTAGCCCGGCAGAGACAGCCGCCAGGCCTGGTCTGGTCGGGTGCAGGGAGTGGGGCAAGAGGGCAGGCTGGGAAGCCAGCGGGCAGAGGTGGGAGGCAGGGTGGGCGAGATGATGGGCCAGGCTGGAGGAGAGGACCCCTTCAGCGGAGGACCAGCAGGTGCCAGGGACACAGGCCCTGAGGCCCCTGGAGAGAGCCCCAGGCCGCATGGAGTGACCTGGCCTCCCCTGTGCTGTTTGGGGAAAGCAGAGAGGCCTCCTGGAACCGGGGTCTGCACAGGAGCTCCCAGCTCCTTTCTCAGGAAGGAACAGGCTCCATGCCTGGAACCCTGCCGCCCAGGCCTGTGCCAGAGGGGAGGGCGGGCAGGAGCCCCAGCATTGTTGTCGGGCCCTCCCTCTTCCCTGACAGCTTCCTTTCCGGGACTCGAAACCAGAGCACGAGGGAAGGGGGGGGGTGACCGCAGGGAAAGGGGGCCAGGAGCGAGGCCGAGTCCAGCAGCCCTGCCTCTGCCTGTGCTTGGGGGCTGGGGGGCAACTCACTGCCTTCCCGCCCCAGCACCCTGTGACTCACAGGGCTGAGAGTGAGTGGCCCCCCTAGAAATGCCAGATACCTGCACCTGTAACGAGGCGACTCTGACAGCTGTTTGCCCTGAGACCTCACACCTGCAGGCGAGGTGCCTCCCCCGGCTGCCCAATGCTGGACACCCAGAATGTCTGTCCGCCTTAGACTGAGAGTGAACGGACGCCCACGTCTGCACCTGAGACTGACGGCAGAACACTGCACACAGATGCCACTGCCTGCCTGGAACATGCTCCTCAGTCCTGCCGATAAGCAGCCCGCAGACAGACACTTGGGCATTGCTGATCACCAGCCCAGCTCGGGGAGGCACCGCCCCATCTGCCACAGCCACAGGGCGCGGGAGCGCTTCAAGGAAACTCTCAACAGCCCGGCCCGCACGTGCGACTTCCCGAGCGAGCCAGCCTGAGCCCAGGCCAGGCGCTGCTGGCCACCCTCCTGCGCCCTGCCAGGCGCCATTAGCTCTCAGAGCACAGTCCTTGGGCCCAGCAGCCAGGAGCCCCTTGGGGACAGGAGCTGGGCAGCGGCCTGCAGGTGGAGCTCTTCCGGCTGCTCTGCTCTTGTCTTCCCAGGTCCCCCTGGATGCCCCCCTCCTCTGTGGCCACTTCAGAGCACTCTGCACCCCCCACCCCAGCGAAAGCATTGGACCTTTCTGAGGTCCAGTGTGAGTCTCAGAGGGTCCAACTCTGTGTCAGTTTCCGCCCACAAATGTATGCTGGGTTTATTGCCTTACATGAAAAAAGTAGCTCCTAACTGAATGTGCCCACACATGGACTTGGGGTGTGCAGGGTCGACACCACAGTGGGGACAGGAGCGGACGGGCAGGAGCAGCCTGAGCCACCGGCCCGTCCAGGCTGTGAACAGAGATAGGGAGGGGCCAGGCACCTGCCAAGGAGGCAGAAACTCTGAGTGGTTTACTAGAGAACAGGTGCTTCTCCACGGGCACCGCCACAGGCTCAGGGGCGCATAAGGACGTGTGGGCTTCAGAATAAAGGTGAGGGGTGGTGGCTGGGTGAAGTTGGGGCTGTGGGGGCAGCTAGTGTCTGAGGAGACCCGGGGCTGGGCACCTTCATGGCGGGGCGCAGTGGTGAAGTGGAGGGACGCTGGCAGGCGGGCCTGAGCTCCAGATCTGTGGGACCCAGAGCGCATCTTTCTGGGCTCAGTCCCTAGCAGCGGTGCAGAGCCTGTGCCTTACCTGTCACACCCCGACAAGGGGACAGCTGTCCCGATGGCAGCAGAGAGTAGGCGGGAACGTCCTGGCAAGGCCAGGACTCTGGGGCGGCCACAGGGATGCAGGGTGTGCTGGGGACACAAGGCCAAGGAGGCCTGGCAGATAAACCCACAGCCTTGCGCTGCCGCAGCTCCGCAGGCAGGAGCCTTGAGACGCGGGGACCATGCACACAGGGACAGGAGACAGCGTGTAAACTCTGCGCCGCCCCTGGGCACATTCAGGAAGGAGACACGAGAAAGGAAGTCGCCAAGGGGTCAGCTGAAGGATGCCAAACATGGGCTCCTCCCTCAGCTCTGTGAACAACCAGAGCTTCCAGCAGGAGCCAAGGCCGTGCCCAGGAGGGCCCACGGAGGCCCGCAGGTTGTGGGTGTGCCTCCCTGCCTGGCACACCTTCTCCCCTGGAATCCAGCCCCACAGGCCAAGGAGCACTGTCCAGATTTAAGGACCGATGAGTGAACACTTCTGACAGTGGTGTAAGCAGCATGTGTGGGCGGAGCCGGGCCAGCCTGTCACCCAGCACCTTTGTTACTGGACACCCACTGTCTTGGGCTGCTGGGTGGTGCTCACCATGGTTGCAAGACATTGGCACAGCCCTGGCCGCTGCAGCCCAGTTGGCTGGGAGTTGTCCCAGGCACTAAAAGCTTGCTGGTTCAGAAAGGCTGCAGGTTTGATTCCTGATCAGGGCGCACACTGACCATGGGGTTCCAGGCTCAACCCCCAGGAAGGGGCATGCAGGAGGCAGCCAGGCAACGTTACGCTTTCATATTGATGTCTCTCTCTAAATATCAATTTAACAAATCTTTGAAAAAGACACTGCCACAAACTGTGTCCCTCCCGCACGCCCTGTGGTGTGGAGGCCGGGGGCGCACCAGTGCTGCACACGTCCCCTCCACGCTGGCTCACTGCTGAGGCCTCAGCGCCCGGGATGGTGGTGGGACGTGGCAGACAGTGGTCAAGGTTTGTAGGAGGGATGACATGACCGGCCAGGCTGTCCATGGGCTGCAGAACCCTTGGTCCATGTCAGCTTGGGGTGGAGCCAGCTGGGCTGGCTGTCCCTGTGGCCTCGGCCTGGGAAACGTCAGCCCCGGATGGTTCGCTAAGAGGACCTCTTCTAGGTCTGCGACCACATACGCTTGGGCCAAACTACATTTTTCAAAAATACGTTTTTACTGACTTTTTTACGGGGGGGGGGGGCGAGCTAGAAACACTGATGTGAGAGACGTCGACGGGCTGCCTCTAGCACAGCCCAACCGGGAATCAAACCAGGACCTCTCAGTCCATGGGGCGGTGCTCAATCCACGGAGCCACACTGGCCGGGCCCAAACTACATCTTGATTGTAAGGTGATCGCTACTGAAGGCGACAGCTCTGTTCTGCCTGCTCTCAGGCTGTTGGTGCCCTGCAGCCCGTCCACTGCCCGCCACAGCACTCGCCCACCCTGGGAAGCCAGGCCCACGGAGGCGTTCGTGCACACGCCTTCCCTCTGAGCCCGTGAAGACCAGGGTGCGCGGCACAGGCCCCACCCACTGGGCACCCCCAGGTCCCCAGCCCCACGCACCTGGCATCTCCCAGGACAGGCTACCTGCTGTCCCGGCGCAGCTCAGGCACACCGTGGGCCCGGCACGCCAGTGCTCTGTCGCCCACCCACAGCTGCGTGTGCTGCGTCCTGTGCTGCCTGGGCACCAGGAGACAGGCGGCAGAGGGGCTGGTGAGTCCCATGCTCACTGGGGAGGGGCCAGGTTGATGCCAGGAAGCAGGGCTGCGTCCAGGGGGACTCGGAGGGCTGAGGAGGCAGAGTCACCCTGTCACGGAGAAAGGCCTGCGGCAGCGTTCTCCCCCGGGTGCCTGGCTGATCCTTTCCTGTGACAGCTGGGGAGGGCGGCATGGGTGCCAGGAGAATGAGCCCAGGTCTGAGTCCAGGCGTGGCCCCACCCTGCACAGGGCTCCCAGCCCAGGTTGGCAGGGGCGCTGCAGAGCATCCCCTCCTGGTGGAGAGAAGCTGCTGGACTCTGCCAGCCAGGGCGGGTGGGGGCATCCACCTTGGCCGGGACACAGCCTGCCCAGGAGCAGCCTGGACAGATGACCCACTGCTCAGATTGCTCTCAGAAACAGGGTCAGGGAGCCTGGCCACGGCCACCAAGATCATTGCAGCACATGCCATCCCTGGTGCTGGCCCCGCTCACTGCCCGATACAGGCACCCTGCTGTGGCAGCTCGGCTTTTGCGGGGAACTCTGGGGACAGAACTTCCTTTTGAAAAGGGCCCGTAGTTTCTGGCTGTTCCTGAGCTCGTCCAGGGACCTGCAGGCTGGGGTTCTAGCTCCAGGTAACAAGGACCCTTCTGCTGTCTCCCCACAGCCCAGCTGAGCCAGCACCATGTGGAGCTGCAGCCCGCTGAATGGCACGGGCAGGGGCGAGGACCAGCCCCTCTGCCCGCACTTCCACCTGGTCCTGTCCACCTTCTCCCTGCTCTACCTGGTTGTCGGCGTCCCAGTGGGCCTGGGCTATAATGCCCTGCTGGTCCTGGTCAACCTGCAGGACCAGAGCAGCATGACCATGCCGGACGTCTACTTCGTGAACATGGCCGTGGCGGGCCTGGTGCTCAGCACCCTGGCGCCTGCACACCTGCTGGGCCCCAGCTCCTCCGGGTGGGCCCTGTGGGGCTTCAGCAACGAGGCCCACATCACACTGCTGGTGCTGTTCGATGTCTGCTCGCTGGTGACCATGTACTCCACGGCCCTGCTCAGCCTGGACTACTACATCGAGCGCGCGCTGCCGCGCACATATATGTCCAGTGTGTACAACAGCCGGCACGTGTGCGGCTTCGTCTGGGGCGGGGCCCTGCTCACCAGCTTCTCCTCCTTGCTCTTCTACATCTGCGCCCACGTGGCGGCGAGGGTTGTCGAGTGTGCCAAGATGCAGCACACGGAGGCCGCCGACGCCATCATGGTGCTCATCGGGTACCTGGTGCCGGGTGTGGCCGTGCTCTATGCCCTCGTGCTCATCTCACGGGTCCACAAGGAGGACACGCCCCTCGACCAGGACTCGGGGAGGCTGGACTCCTCGGTGCACAGGCTCCTGGTGGCCACCGTGTGCACGCAGTTTGGGCTCTGGACGCCACACTACCTGACCCTGCTGGGGCACACGTCCCTGGCCTTGCGGGGGGAGCCTGTGGACGGGCAGCACCTGGCGATACTGCTCTTTGCCAAGGACGTGTCGCGGTGCCTGGCCTTCTCCAGCAGCTCCGTGACCCCGCTGCTGTACCGCTACATCAGCGGGAGCTTCCCAAGCAAGCTTCGGCGGCTGGTAAAGAAAATGCCCTGTGGGCGCCAGGGCTGCTCTGAGGACCAGGCAGGGGTCCAGCAGGTGCTGGCATAGGCATCCAGCTGGAGGGGTCAGCCCAGCGGCGCCCACCACGCCCAGTGCACTCACCCTGGTCCCGAGCCCCGGCAGACGCGGGGACGTCCTCAGCCACATGCACAGCACTTTGTCGCCCGCACATCCTGCTGCGCTCTGGCCAGGAGATGGCCAAGGTGAGAGCGCACCACATGCGAGGCCTGTGCGGAGGCGGCCACGCCCATCAGGGCTCCTGGCTCCTGGCAGCCTGTGCAGCTCCCCAGGGCACCCCTGCAGGCCGCTGCTCTCAGCCTCCTCACGGGGCTTTCCAAATGAAGGGATGGAAATCAAAGCCAGTATTTATACTTTGTGTGTATTGTTAAAACACTTGATTCCCCCTCATACGTTTGTTTATACAAAGAGATGTTTGGGAAAAAGCCGCCCAGTGTTAACACGCAGGAAGCAGGACAGCGGCACCTGCTGGGGGAACGGCGGCCTGGCCTGGGCTCCATCAAGGGCAGAGTGCCGGGGCGGGCGGTCTCACACGGGACAAAGTACATCGCCAAGGAACGAAGGCTTGGGGTGCTGGCTTAGGCAGGCAGCACCAAGGTGCTACCGTTGCCCGCAAGGTGTGCCCAGGACCCCTGCCGTCTCACAGGTAACGTCCACTGCAGACCTGTCCTAAGCCAGACCCCACGATGGCACAGAACCGAGGCAAGAAGATGCTGGGAGGACTCGCAACCCAGCACAGACCACAGCCAACAACTGAAGTCGCCATCACCACTCGCCAGGTCCGCATCCACTTAGGCTGGGGTGACCTGAGACTGGCCCACTTCTGAGTGGTCACCTGGCCGTCCTGCCTCCGTCAGCCCCGCAGGCTGTACACAGCCATCTCCAAGAGTACACAGGGTGTCCCCTCCCCTCCACTGCCTCCCCTCGAGTCCTTGTAAAATACAGCCCTGTGAGCCTCGGGTCCATTTTGAAACCCCAAAAGCCCTATAAACAAAGATTTTTCCAACTCTGCAGCAAATTCACTTAGTAGCAAACCCTGGTATGAGTGGCCGGGCGTCTTCCAGAGGACAGAGTGTGAGGACAGGCAGCCCCACCTGCTCCTGATGGCCAGGCAGTGTGGATACTGGCCTGAGGACGGGTGCAGGCTAGCTGCCACTCGACTGTGGGGATGCCCGCCCGTGGAGACGCCCCGACGCCAGGCCCCAGTCCTGCTTCCTCTGGGCGTGCTGCTTCCACTCCAGGGCCCAGCCCATCTGCTTCCAATCAGAAAGCCTCAGACCTGCCCCCAGCACCGGACACCAGGGTTGAGCGAGGCGTCTGTCACCCTCCACCTGGGGACCCTGGTGCTGGCTGTCAGTGCAGCTCCCAGTCCCCAGCACAGGGCCGCCGGTGGGGGCCTCTCCCGCCACACCCACTGATGCTGCTGCTCAGTCTGCAGCCCCCCAGGTCAAAGCCAGGCCAAGGTCCCCCAGGCACAGCCGGGTTCGGGTCGGGGAACCGATGTCAGGTGTGAAAGAAAAGCCCTTTCTTTGCTTGTCTTTCTCCTCTGCTCCCGCACAAGGAGCCCCTAGGTGAGGGATCCCCAATGCTTGGTCTCTGCCCACAGCATCAACCCTCAGCCCACCTGGCCCTCCCCAAATAGAAAAGGGAACCTAAATTCATGTTTTCCCTTTTTCAATTTCTCAGTGGCTTTGGCTGCAGACTGGCTAGTTTCTGGTGGCCTCCTAGGGGTGTGGGAGGGCCCCTGGCTCTGTCCCAGTGCCCACCTCCACAGGTGACAGAGGGGTCCATGGACACGGGCAGCTCTGGATGGTGGGGCAACAGCTGACCACAGACTGGCTCCACTGCAGACCCTCACCTCTCCCGGGGACCCTCTCCCCTGCTCGTGCTGCCTCTGGGGTCTACCTGGGCGCCAGGGGCAAACCTCCACCCCCACCCCCATGGACGCCTCTGCTGATAGCGCCACAGTCCCACTGAGCACCTGCCGGTCCGGGGTCCCCGTGCTCTCACACGCTGCCCCAAGTGGGGAGGATGCGAGCTGGGCAGCGGAGAATGGGGTGGGGATAAAGCAGAACAGTATGAGCTCAACTCTGCTGCTTAACGGACTGATCCTGTTCCTGAGTGTGCAGAGGGCGGACTGAGTTCTCACTTCAGGCTCCAAGGTCACCGACTCTGCGACCCACACGTCTTTCATCAGTTTTGAGTTATCTTATTTTTGTTCACAAAACTCGCGCACCTTTCATGCTTCATTATTAGAAGTTGAATCAAACGTCAAGTTCTTGAATTTAAAATCAGCTGGAACTGGGGGCTTTTCATTTGTAATTTGTGACCTCTGCCCAAAGGCCACACTGTTTGCCTGAAGTTCTATATATTCGAGAAAGAAGAAACTACTGAAGAAATATCCCACACATTTGAAGACTATTAAATTATTTGATACTTACTATCCAATTTCTGAATTTTTACATTTGCATTTCCAGGGCAATGCATGTGAGTGGGCTGCACAGCTGCACAAAAAGTACTATAACTAGCCCTGGCCTGTTTGGCTCAGCGGTTAGAGCGTCGGCCTGCGGTCCAGAGAGACCCGGGTTTGGTTCCCGCTAAGGGCACGTACCTCGGTTGCAGTTTGTCCCCAGCCCTGGTTGGTCGTGCGGGTGGCAGCCACTCGATGTGTCCCTTTCACATTGATGTTTCTCTCTCTATCTCCCTCCCACTCTATCTGAACAAAAAACGAAAAAATGTCCTCGGATGAGGATAAATAAATAAGTCAAGTAAAAAAGTACCATAACTAGCATTTCTCCTACAATGTTCTCCCCTTTAGCTGCTTTACTCCCTGTAGCTCCTCCCTCCTGCAATCTGTCCATCCGACCCACAGGGCTCAGCCGCACACTTCGCCTCGCGGCTGCGGCCCCTCCCAGACAGAGCGACACCGGCCAGGACAGTTGGCCAGGGGCTAGCGAGTCGATGGGCCCTGAGGCTCTCTGAGTGCAATGTGAACGCACCCCGCGCCGGTGCCAGAGTACTGAGGGCACACCGGGCTTCAGCGCTCGGCCGCACCTCCGGCCAGCGTGGGGCCGTGTCCTCCTCCTCTGCAAGAGGCTGTCACCCGTGCCCACCCCCACTTTGCACACAGCATGCACTCAGGATGTTTGAGAATCGGATGAATACACGAATTGTCTAGGGACAAAATAATTCAAATATTCCCACTGTATACTAATAAAGAATATGTAGCCCTGACCGGTGGCTCAGTTGGTTGGGGCATCATCTTGAACACTGAAAGGTTGTGAGTTCAATTCCTGGTCAGGGAACATATCTATGTTATGGGTTCAATCCCCAGTCAAGACACATGTGAGAAGCAACCAATGGAAGTTTCTCTCACGTCAATGTTACTCTCTCTGTCTAAAATCAATGAAAATACCCTCAGGTGAGGATAAAAAAGAAAGAAAAAGAACATGAGCTGAAAGAACTTCATTAGCTGTATCTGACTGAGCGATCACAGGCAGCAGGTACTCTGCAGGCTGCATCTCTGCTTTCGGTGAATGAGGCCAGGCCCAGACCTAAGTCCCAGGTCTCTGTTCCCTTCGCATCAGGGGCCACCCACTGCACACAGGTGACAAGTGAGCCCCGCACTGCCGGCCCTGCCCCACTGACCCCAGCCCCTGGTCCCCCTCCTGGAGAGAGTCCACCCCTCTGTGACTGCCCCTGGGTGTCACCTTCGCCTTCTGAAGCCACGGGCCAGGATGACCTGTGGCATGTGCCCCACAGCACCTCCAGTGGGCCCCTCCCACACACAGGGCACTCGGCACCCTCTCTCTGCTCCACATACGACCTCCGTCATCGCCTTGTACAGACGAGGGACAGACCAAGACCAACTCGCCCTGCGAGTCCACTACATGGGGAGGGCCCGGAGCACCCTCGACCAGCCTGGCTCCAGAGCCACTTCTAACTGGCTCCCTCCCCCTCCTCTGGCTCCTCCCACCTTTCGCTGTCATTCATGGACAGGAGCTAGTCAGGTTCCAGAAGCCAGGGCCCAGAAACGAATGCAACCCAACACGCTCCCCCACTCTGAGGAGAAGCAAAGCCACTGGGTCCGGGGACGGGGTCCTGACCGGGCTGGGCGGGGAGATGCCATGGAGGCAGCGGGGCAGTGTCGGGGCCACGGTCATGGTCTGCACTGGGTGCCACTCTGCACTGCCGTCCAGTGCTCTGCGGGCAGACTGGCTCACACCTGTCCACCTGTCCTGCTGCAGGGGGCACTCAGGCTGACGGGACGGCACTCTCCGGGGCACACCCCATGGAGCAGGCTCCAGGGCAGGAGTGCTGGGCTACGGGGTGCATGCACCTTCGACCTTGCTCCTCCCCAGCACTGAGGACCGTGTTTCTGCCACTCGGCGGGGCTGCTGAGGGCGTCCCCGAGGCCGAGGCCGAGGCCCTCTTCGGGGTCTGTGGGCCGTCTCACTGCTGCCTCCGTGCACGGCCTGTTCAAAGCTCTGCCGCTGGCTGGTTGGTTTTTCAAATAGTTTTCATTGATTTTAGAAAGCAGGAACGGGAGAGAGACATGGATGCGAGAGCAGAACATCGACCAGCGCCTCCTGCACGCTCCCCACTGGGAACTGAGCCCGGAGTCCAGGTATGTGCCCTGACCGACAACCAGATCGGCAACCCCTCAGTGCACGGGACGATGCTCAACCACTGAGCCACACTGGCCAGGGCAGCCGCTTTGTGTTTTAACTGAGCTGAGGTCGTTCTGCCCTCACTTCTGGCTCCTGACCTGTGTCCTCCCCTCGACTCCCTTGTCCACAGAACAAGCCACACACTGGGGCAGTCAGCGAGGCCTCTGCAGCCTTAAGGACAAGGGCCCAGGAAACCAGCCGTCCTCCCTGAGGGCACGAGATGGCGTGGACAGCAGCGCTGGCGGGGCGAGCCGCCGCGTCCACACGGTCACAGGGTCCAGACCTCAGCGCGCGGGCGCACACACTCCCTACCAAGGCCATGGTGCCGGGAAGGGATTCTGTGTGTTGGCTACAGGGCGGGAAGCATCCGGAAAGGGCGCAGGGAGGGACTCTGGGAGGCCGGTTTCCTGTCCTGACTTCCACAAGAGGCAGATGCCAGGGCCAGAGCTGAAGGCCTCAGGTCCACCAGGTCCCGGGAGGACCCAGACCCGTGTGTGCTCCTCTCTGCCCCTCTCCTGACAAGTGGAGATCCCTGGAGAGCACGGAGCACAGCAGGCACCGGCTGTCAACGTGAGCTCAGCTCTCTGCGATTCTTCCCCCGAGGGCCGGGAGAACGGAAGCAACACCAGAGGTGCTGGGCCACATGAGAGAGGGCACCGGGCACCGGGCAGGTGTGTGCCACACGCTGCTGGAGGGAACGAACACACGTCCTGAGTGATTTCAGGCCCCAGAGAACGTTGCAGCTCACAGGAAGAGAGAGGGTCATGAGCATGCTGCTGAGGACGCAGCCTGGAGAAGCATGTGCTCTAAAACCAAGCGTCCCCACAGGGCACCAGGGCTCCAGGCACCTCTGAGGGGAGGTCAGAGCAGCGCTGAGGGAGGGAGGGGACATGGGCGCCCACCAGGCCCCTGGCACTGCAGGGCCCCAGCTTCCACAATGGGCTGCACACAGATGCACCCTCCCCCTCCCCTGGCCAGGCAGCCCCGGAGGAGGACTTCTGTCCGGGAGACGGACCGGACCTCTCGCTGCTAAGTATGCAGGGAGGGCCAGGGCGGGGCGGGGGCTGGGTCTGCAGGAGCCAGGGGAGAGCACTGCACGGGAACTGCGGGGGAGAGCCTGCCTCTCCAAGTCAGACAGGACCCGCCTTCCAGGCCACCAGCTTCCGCCGGAGCAGGCCAGTACGTGGAGCTCCACCCAGTGGCGGTCGGGGGACCTTCCTCGGAGGAGAGGAGCACGGCCGAAGGAGCCCAGTGGGACCCGGAGGCAGAGAGAGCTCCCCCAAGGCCCCCACACCCGGGGGAGGAGCAGGTTGGAGGGAACCCTGTCTGTGCCATGACAGGAGGCTGCTAACAGG